AGAATTACAACGCGTGATATCATTGAGGTTGAATAGATTAGACATTATCACAACCATACCAGGTACAAGTAAGTAGGCGGTATATGCAGCTGTACCATTACACTCATGCGCGGGTAACAAAAAAGCTCACCTAAACGTCCTCAGTCGTCCTTCGGAGAAGATCCGATATATACGTGGGATGTTTTTGCAGCAAGAGTAGGTCGTCTCATTCGACACAATCTCATTGTGTGTCACTCGGCGCATCGTACTCAAAAAAACACGGTCAAAATCTTCCAGCTCTCAGTTGCTTTGCGTGCTCAGATACTGCTGGGTGCATGCAGCAAGCAGCCGCACTCACAGCAGAGTATCAATCGGCTTACACGAGGCGAACTCACACAGGCAATCAAGCAATCAATAGTCCAAAATGTAAACTGCATTCAGCCGCTGAGTCACGGCCAATCGTTCCGGTAGCCAAGCTATAGCAGAAGCTGATTGGCTCGATGGATATAGCTTACACTCGTTTATCGACCTAAATATTTTGTATCTATTACCCTCAAATATTTGTGCTGACTTGCTTAAAGCGCTTGTCTGAGTGAACGCACTCTCTCCCTCTCTGGCCAACTGGTCTTTTCTCTATCTCTCTCGTACGGGCTCTTTGGTTCTGCGTTTGCGTTAATTAGAAATACCAGGAGCGGGTCTTAACAGATGCCAACAGTAAATCGTCGAGAAATGGCTGGATGGACACGCGATAAATCCAAATCGCCCCAGTGAGCGAGAAATCAAGTAGTAAATTTGTTATTATGATCCCCAAAAGCACATTTCCGATTCAAGTGCTGCTCCTACGCAAACACTGGCGTGTTCCGCGCGTGATTTACAATATGCACTTAGTCAGCGATACAAGCATAGATAAACGGCTATGAGGTCCATAGGAATCGTTCCTATACTTCAAGTACCAACTACTTTTCTTAAAAAAGCGCGGTATAATTATTGTATCAATCTAACAATTAACTTGGAGCAGTTCACAACTTTAAAAATTATGGCAGGTTTTACAACAAAATTAAAATAACGAGAAGTTGCCAGCAAGCATCGTTTACAGAATAGAACTTTCGAGGTTTACCCCCCACCTCTCAAAACAATCGCTCTGTCAAAGGTAGGACGGCCATATGTGCAAACTAACCGATATTTCTTTCTTTGCGGCTTGCGGATCTGACCTATTTCCGAATATAACCACTACCTTTGTGGACTCGTAAAGCGGATTTATTATGCGTAGAGTACGCTAAGATGCTTCAGGTAATCGCATATAAAACACAAAAGACAATGGCTGTCAATTACCAACTGATCAATATCATGCAACAGCTAGGATTGGCTCTAGACTGGAGCTACAACATAAACTGTAATCGTCCGTGTTCGGCCCTGCGGTCTGGTAAACAACAGTCCAGTTGCAGCTAATCGGACGAGAGCATGTACCTTAATGGTAAAACGTCTGATTGAATGCTCGGAGATCAAACAACCTCAGTCAGGGACGTAGCTGGTTGACGAGAAGTAAGTCAGAAATAGCAATCTTAGTCTCCCTTGAATCTGTCCAGCATCTATAGACTGAATAATTTTCGTAACATCAAAAATTAATGGCGGACGCATAAGAGCATCAACGTTTTCCCAGGCTTTATTAATTTGGGTAGTTTGGAGACGCTTTAAACGAAAGATATCATGATCTGTGCCTACTGGCATGGCGATCCCAATTAAATAAGATTTCTTATTTGACAGCCTAATTAAGCATATAAGTGGATTGAGTTATAACACCTACCTACAATGCAGAGGGGAATATGATAAGTCCAAACGACATCAAATTGAAAGCATTTGCTTGTACAGATTATAGGTTACAGACGCAGTATTGAGGACCCAAGTGGATGCAAAATTCACTTTCAAAGTCAAGTAGGTATATTTGCAGATTATTAGTGAACATAGTGCGTCATTAAATTCAGCATCGCTTCGGAGATTTTATAAAAAAAATATCACTTATTAGCATTTCCTTTTTATATACGTTTCGAATCTAGCACACAGGATTTTAGAGGACGTGGCAACGTCATAAACTAATAGAACTCATTGAATCTAAATTTCCTGCCCTAGGCAAACTAAGGAAAATTATGTATTCAACACTAGTTCCCGTTTGTGTAGAAGAAAGCAAAATGGCCACGACACTAGTCCTCACCTGTATTTTTCTACACCTCGGTTAAGGCAATAAAAATCGGTGTTGATGAGTATAATATAACTTAAAGATTGATATAAAGAAGGAAGTAGTAGTCGTGCTTATCTTTCTATTCAGGACTGAAGCATGATAATGTGCTGCGCGAATGAATACAGATTCAAGGGATTGAATGAAGGCTAACCTGACACTGAGAACGGAGATTATCAAAATGCCTTTCTTGACAGAGAGCAGCTCGCCAGAACAGAGACAATTCACCCAATTCTACCGGCCGAACAGCATCACAACGAAGGATTGGACATAAATCGGCAAGGCAAAAAGAATGATCTCTCTAAGAAATTGCAAGCGAATTGAGAGTACTTACTAGAACGAGGGTTTCGTTGTGCCTGTTTTCGAAGTGTTTTTCTAAGAAATGAGCTTCGTAAAAGCGCTTTCCACAAAATCCGCATTCCCAATTATACTCGTTATTTTGTATAAACATGGCATCCTGATAAGCAAAGTAGTCCATTGAAGGCTTGAGGGGACAGGTATCGGGCAAATTCAAGTTTCCAAGATTCACATCGGCAAAAGTCTAAAAGAAAAACAGAATTTATGATGGAGGCAGCTTACTGGCGTTTTCCTGAATTTAGGTTAATTAGATCGATCTGCGTCTAAATGGTTTTAAAAATAACTTTTAAACTGATCCATTTAAAAAGGTTTATTAAAAGGCATTGTAATGTATATATACACGTTCCATCACAATAATTGTGATGGAACGTGTAATGTGAAGCAATAATGAAACAACCAATACCTTTGAAATTATACCTCTGGCAAGCCGAGACCTTTCGCGTGAACAATTATCTAAGTCACCGAATATAAGGCGTAGAAAAAAGAATAATGCCAACGCGGAAAGCATGTCATCAGAGTATGAAGGACAGGTTCAAAGTAATGCAAGCGCACAGAGAGCTTTATGACGCTATATGCAATGATGACCGAAAATCGCCCTTCGCATAAATGAAGACAGCCTCAATTTTCTCGACAAAAACGCGCCCCTGTCAGCGCCTGGAACGACAACCACTTAATACAACCGCTGATACCTACAAAGTAAAGCTGTAAAACATAGCAAAAGTGAAAAATGAAAACGGAAAACTTTAAAAAAATTACACGAAGTACAAACTGTGTAGTGTAGACTAGCTCATTCTTTTGTTGTAGTCTGACGGGTAAACAAAAGAGAACAAAAAAACATGCTGGATATATTTACTTCATTTTCAGCCTGCAGAAGCACGCGTTCAAACTCGATAAAACCTCGACTTTTAGGTGGAATTTAGACCACTCTTAAACAAAGCAGCTTATAATACATCGCTCGTGGGTGGGAAACTTATTCCACGAAACCCCTCTTCGGGTAATATCTTGAAAGTTCGAATTGTCGTGTCGCAAGTTATGATGTCGACGGTCGGTTTGTAAAGGAGGAATGACACTCAGTTGTGCGCCAGTGTCAACCAAGAATACCTTGCCACTCAGGACCTTGCAGACATAAAGGTTTGACCGGGGCTAGGAACACCAGGAAGACTGGTGGCATTCACCTTCGTGTGGACTGGCTTGCATTGCTTGAAAATGAAGTAGCAGGAAGGAGTGCAGTGATGGGCTCTGACACAAAATGTGGAGTGATACCAGCATGTTGTAGCTGAGCTGGGATGAGCTGAAGCAGCAGGCTGGCCATGCTGGTTAGATGACCTCGCTGGACACCAGGATGGAGAGGTTAATTGCTGTTGATAAATAAGTAGTCGTTCGTTGACTTGTGCAATCTCAGCCCTCAGTTGTGCGAGAGGAGATGCAGAAGAAACAGCAGGAGTTGGGAATGCGGCAGGTGATGGTTTAGCAAAGCCGTGCCTCGCCATCAATTGGTCGCCCAGAAGAGTGAATTCAGCGTCAGTGAGAGCGTCAGCAGCAGGCGCTATCTGCAGGCCAATATCTGACTATATCGTGGACATGGGAGGTTTGTTTGGAGGTTGTCACCAACCGTCGACAAATAGAAGGATCACAATTCAAACAAAATGGTGTTGGTGGACAGAAATTTACTGCCGGAAAAGAGATAGTACAAAGGTTGTGCTGTGCACCTCCTGTCACTTGCGTGCGCTCGTCAGATGTGTGCGCGAAGTTTTGTGGGCTGCTGTGTAGCTATGACTGCCACACGTTCTTTTTGGCGACGCAGCTGGACAGGTGGATAGGTGCGTATTAATTGGCTGAAACTAACGCGCGGCTTGAGCTGCGACCAGACGGGGGGAGCAAAGGGCCACTAGCACATAGCGGTCCTCTCGTAGCGGCTGACACACAAAGTGCGTAGCGGGCGCGAGTAGACA